CACGGTCCTCGTAGCCAGGCACTTCAGTTTTTCGAAGATTGTGGTTTCAAATGCCCAGCAAGAAAGGGTGCTGCAGATTTCCTTCAAGAGGTGCCAAAACATGTTTTACTTGTCATTTCTCTTTTCGTCCAATACTTCATACCGAAGAAAAAAGGGAAAAATTATGTATTTCGAACCCTTTACAGGTAATCTCAAGAAGGATCAAGCACAATACTGGAAGCATACCAACATTCCCTACGATTTTGTTTCAGTGGATCAATTTTCTCAACTTTTCAGAGCAAGTTACCTGGGGAAGAAGTTAAATGATGAGCTTTCGGAACCATATGATAAATCACAGTGCCATGAAAAGGCCCTATCATTTACCACTTACTCAGTGAGAAAATGGGAATTGTTCAAAGCTTGTATGGGCCGAGAGCTGCTTCTTATGAAACGAAATTCCTTTGTATATGTATTCAAAACAGTGCAGGTTAAGTGTCTACTGTTCCACTATTCGTAGTTGTACTTCTGTGGCTTGACTCGAATCACTAACATCTTTTCAATCTCCTTTTTACACAGCTTACCATCATTGCATTTATTACAATGACGGTATTTATACGAACTCAAATGGCTGTGGATCTGACAAGTGCAAATTTTTTGATGGGCTCATTGTTTTATACCCTCGTTCGACATATGACCAATGGAGTTGCAGAGCTGTCCTTGACTGTTACTAGACTTCCAGTTGTTTACAAGCAAAGGGGATTCTGTCTGTACCCGGCATGGGCGTATTGTATTCCAGCTTCTCTCGTGAAGGTTCCATTTTCGCTACTTGATTCAGCACTATGGACAGCCATAACTTACTACGTTATTGGGTTTAGCCCGGAAATAACAAGGTAAAAGCAGTTCATACTGACAACAGAACAAGAAATTCCAGACCAATAAATAACAATCCCTCATATATGGTTTTTAGGTTCTTCCGTCAGTTTCTTGTGCTATTTGCTCTGCATCAATCATCAACATCAATGTGTCGTTTGGTCGCTGTAATCTTCCGAACTATGGTTCTTGCATCAACTTGTGGTACTTTCATGTTAGTGGTAATGTTTTTATGTGGAGGCTTCATTTTGCCACAACGTAAGTCCATTTACCAGTTTTTTCCCCCTTTCATTACACGCAATAACGACTAGACTAATAAGGTGTGAAATTGCAGCCTCTTTACCTTCTTGGTTGAGGTGGGGATTCTGGTGTTCTCCTATGACTTATGCAGAAATAGGTACAACTCTAAACGAATTCCTTGCTCCTCGATGGCAAAAGGTAAAACTCGAGATGATATGAATTCTTTCAGTCCCAAACCAAGTTACATAACGTTACCAATAGCTTTACTTCATTCTTACTTTAGGTTACAAATGGAAACACAACCTTAGGAAATGAAGTTCTAACCAGACATGGATTGAATTTTGATGGCTATTTCTTTTGGATATCGGTTGGAGCACTGTTTGCGTTCACAGTACTTTTCGATCTTGGATTTGTTTTAGCCTTGACTTACCAAAATCGTAAGTTCATTTTAATTGACAGATCATATTTTTTGGTATTACAATACACTCTGTCACTTTAATTCTAAGCTTTTCCTATATGCAGCTACAAAGATGTCTCGCGCAATTATTTCGGGAAAAAGGTTATCCAAATTACAAGGAAAGGATGCTTGCAACACCAGTGAACAGTCGGAAAATGAAGCAACTCCAGCTTATTCTTCCCAAACTGTGCGAGGAAAATTCAACTGCGGTGAGAAGTTCATGCTCGATTTCATATCTTTTATTCAAAACATTGACCAAAGAATGTTTATAACTGAATTATTGAAGCGTGTTGGTCGGTTATACAGGGAGGATGGTCCTGCCATTTGAGCGACTGACAATCTCATTCAAGGATATGCAGTATTACGTTGCAACCACGCCGGTAAATCATACTAAATTTTTGGATATGGTTGAGAGACAGTTATTGTTATTTGATGTATGCTAATCTCATTTTTTTCCCTAAAGGAAATGAGAGAGCATGGATTCAAGCAGAAAAAGCTTCAGCTGCTTAAAGACATTACTGGAGCATTCAGACCGGGAATTCTCACAGCACTGATGGGTGTGAGTGGGGCTGGAAAAACAACTCTTATGGATGTTCTTTCGGGAAGGAAAACCGGAGGTACCATTGAGGGAGATATAAGAATAGGAGGGTATCCGAAGGTCCAGAAGACATTTGCAAGAATATCGGGTTACTGCGAGCAGACTGACATACATTCTCCACTTATCACAGTAGAAGAATCGGTTAGGTACTCGGCTTGGTTGCGGTTGCCACCCGAAACTAATCAAGACTCAAAAGCTGTAAGAAGATTCTCTCAATTTATCAACTATATTACAATTTCCGACAATTTAAAGGAAACGGAATTGAGTTAGAACTAGAGTTCACAATATCTTATAGGAGGTTTTTATCCATGCAGAGATTTGTGGAAGAAGTAATCGAAACAATTGAACTGGAGGATATAAGAGATTCTTTAGTTGGCATTCCTGGACAAAGTGGCCTATCAACCGAGCAGCGTAAAAGGCTGACAATTGCAGTGGAGCTTGTTTCCAATCCATCAATAATATTCATGGATGAACCTACATCAGGTTTAGATGCTAGAGCAGCTGCGATTGTCATGCGTGCAGTGAAGAACGTCGTTGCTACAGGAAGAACAACTGTGTGCACAATTCACCAACCAAGCATTGATATCTTCGAGTCTTTCGATGAGGTAGTAAAAGAAGCGCTTTCTTTCCAAAAAAAAGAAATCAAATGATAAAAGCCAATCACTAAAGGAAGACATTGATTTTTGCAGTTAATTTTGATGAAAACGGGTGGACAAATCATCTATTCGGGAGCTCTTGGTCATAACTCGAGTGAACTCATCGAATATTTTGAGGTATGCACATAATTCTAGCTCCATATTCTTCTACTATTCTTAAAATTTCTTAAGCATATATATTAATTAACTCTTATATTCCACCATCCAACAGCGGATTCCTAATGTACCGAAGATCAAAGACAATTACAACCCGGCCACATGGATGTTAGAGGTTACTTCTGCTTCGGTAGAGGCAGAACTCGGTTTGGATTTTGCCAGCATCTATAAAAATTCTACTAAGTATAGGTAAACTTGATCTGCCAAACATGTCATACATGAGCTTCGTTTTTATTTCAGTTTTAACTAATAAGTCAATCTAACACATAAATTGGGGTTTTTTTTTTTCATTTGTAGAGACACAATTGAGTTGGTAAAACAGTTGAGTGAAGCAAAGCCAGGTTCAAAAGACTTGCACTTTCCCACTCATTTTCCCCAAAATAGTTGGGTGCAGTTCAAGGCCTGCCTTTGGAAACAACACTTGTCCTATTGGAGAAGTACCGAATACAATCTAGCGCGTTTCATGTTCATGATCGCTGTATCAGTCATGTTTGGGGTAATATTCTGGCAGAAAGGGACGGAAATGTAGGTCCTGTTTTCGAGAAACCTGCCCTATCATCATAAATAAATCAAAACGACAAACCTACTAACCTCTAAATCCTCTGTTTTTCATTTTCCTGCAGAAATAATGAGCAGGATTTGTTGAACATACTTGGGTCCATGTACATTGCCGTAATATTCCTAGGAATAATCAATTGCTCAGGAGTTCTGCCTTATATCGCAACTGAGCGCACTGTTTTGTACCGTGAAAGGTTTGCCGGGATGTACTCGTCAAAGGCTTATTCATTTGCACAGGTTCATACATTTCAAGTACTTATTTCGTTGCAGAGGAAAAATTAAAAATCTTCACACTTTAAGCTAAATTGCTAAATGTTGCAGGTTGCCGTTGAAATACCTTACACAATGTTGCAAGCAATTTTGTATGTGGCTATTACATATCCTACCATAGGGTTCTTTTGGTCACCTACTAAGGTTTTCTGGTACTTATATGCAACATTTTGCACATTTCTATACTTTGTATATCTTGGGATGCTGATAGCTTCTTTGAGCACAAACCTCGACGTAGCTTCCATTCTGGCGACCGCAGTCTACACCTTACTGAATCTTTTTGCCGGCTTCCTCATGCCCGGACCGGTAACTGAATCCAACCCTTTCTAAATTTTGATGGTTTTGTGTTAACTGCATTAGCATTTTAGCACTTGGAAATACTGTAACCATGTACATACATGTAAAATGAGCCTAGCTGACGCAGTATAGCTAATTCATGTGTTAATAAAGGACAATTGGCCTAAATAATCAAATTTCAAATCTCAACTACTTAAATAATCCCTTTTTCAGTATGTCGTTGATATTTGATTTTGATCGATTTCGTAAGCAGAGTTTGATATCTAATCACTTAGTAAATATACAGATTATAATATGAGTAGATTAGGAAAGCGTTACATTGTGTCGGGGAGATGACCTAGCTGACCATTATGTTATATGTGCAGAAAATTCCAAAGTGGTGGGTTTGGTGCTATTGGATATGTCCTACATCATGGTCCCTAAATGGCCTACTGACTTCACAATATGGAGACATGAGCAAAGAAATAGTGATCTTTGAGGAGCATAAAACCGTTGGTTTCTTCCTACAAGATTACTTTGGTTTCCACCATGATCGTTTAGGCCTTGTGGCTCTTGCTCTCATTGCTTTCCCAATTGTTTTTGCTTCCCTATTTGCCTATTGCATTGGGAAATTAAATTTCCAAAGAAGATAGGGAAAAAAAATATATTATATGTCCTATCTTTAATGTTGAGCTGTGGAAATGTATTAGTGAATAAAAAACTTAATAGAAATTTGTAATGTTAAATTGGTGGTTAAGATGGAATACGAATGTTGGAATTACTTCAGTGGTAGTTCAACGATATATGTACGCTGATAAATTTAATTTCGTATTTCATGGTTAAATCATTTATGAAAAAACCTTGATAATTTTAATTTCGTAACCAACTTGTTATTCACGAAATTCAAATGCAAGATATTCCTTATATTAGTAAAGATAAATAGTACTAAACCGTACAAATTTTGATAAATATATCTTAGCCGTTCGATACTTGTCGAAACCCGTCCTATTTTCGACTGGAAAGTTAGTACAAATTTTGTAAATGGTGATTCCAATGAAATATGATTGAAATAATTTATTGACAAGTATACATTATTCATACATATATCTGCAAGATCCAGACAAAAATCCTCAACTTCTCTACCTCCTCTGGAAGTTTAACTTTCCAATGAAGTATGCGAAAAGAGAAGCAAACGCAATGGGGAGGAGAATAGAAACAGCAGCAACAAGGCCTAAAAGGTTGTAGTCAAACCCGAAGTAATCTTCTAGGAAGGCAGCGACAGTTTTAGTCTCTCCGAACGCCTGGATTTCCTTCTGCATATCTCCATACTGCGAGGTAAGCATTCCGTTTAGGGCCCATGATGTAGGGGTTAAATAATACAACCAGAGCCACCACTTCGGTATGTGCTGCATCAAGCAAATAATAGGCTCCAGTTAGTTTTCTGCGTGTAATTATTTCTCCGAAGTGTAAATGTTAAGCTAAATGATTCGCAAACTTACCGGCCTTGGAAGGACAAACCCGGAAAACAAGTTCAGCATTGCGTACGAAGCTGAAGCCACGATCGCGGCCACCTGAACATTTGGTGTCAACGACACTATCAGCATTCCTAGGTAATTGAAGCTTAGTAGTATGCAGAACATGCTATAGAATGACCAAAATATCTTGTAGGCAGACCACTGGTAGCCGATCATTGGGTATGTGATCGCAACATAAATAACTGCTTGAGTGACCAAGTAAGGAACCTCAACCAGTAACCTACAAAATGTTGATGAATGTCTTTAATTAGACTTGGATGACTCACAAGTTGTTGATGAATTTATTAAAGTTGCGCTAAAAAGAACTAAAACCTGTGCGAACGAGTAGGCCCATGAAGAGAACATTCCTGCAAATCTTTCTCGGTATAGAACATTCCGCTCTGTGGCAACGTATGGTAGAACTGTTGAGCAATTGTTTATGCCAAAGAATATTACTGCACAGAACATTGAACCATACATATTGAAGAGGTCTTGCTGGCTATTTCTGTGAAACACGAAAGTTATGGTCAATAAATCATCTTTAAATGAAAATCATGAAGTTTTGTGGTTTATACGAGCATAAACAAAACTTTGCAGACTAACATTTTATTTCCTTGATCCCAGAACAGTATTCCAAACAGCAGAGATGCGCAAAACATAAATATTATGCGTGTCAGATTATATGAAGGACTTCTCCAATAAGACAAGTTCTGTTTCCACAGGCAAGCTTTGAACTGCCCCCAACCGTTCTGTGGAAAACGAGTAGCAAAATGCATTTCGTTTGAACCAGGAGATGGTGAACACAATTGCTTGGCTAAATCCTTGTTCGTCCTAAAGTCAGAGAGCGAGAGTCGTGAGTAACCAAGTTGACATGTGGATGCAAATGATAAATAATAACAATATGAATGTAAACAATTTGGATGTAGTCTTCGTGTTTACTAGCGTTTGCACAAATGAAGGGGAAGAGAGGTGAGGGATCACATTATGCTTACCCATACAAGGCGGATTCCCTATATATTTGCGCAAAATCTATACCGAGCTCAGATTCCACAGATTTTGAAGTAACTTCTAACATCCATGTCGCTGGATTATAATTGTCTTTAATTGAGGGCACCCCGGGAATACTCTAGCGAAATCAAGAAAAGTGGATCAGGACTAAACGATTATATGTTTTCCAGAGACAAGTTAATGCTATGTAAAATAGCAGTTGTTCAACTACCTCGAAGTACTCAATGACCTTGCTTGAGTTCTGCCCCAGTGGACCGCAATAGATTATGCGTCCCCCGCTTTTCATCAGAATCAACTGCAGTGAAGGTGTGAACCATTGTTATTCAAAGGACATTTAAGTGATGTATCATGTCAATGAAAGAAAAAACTGATCAAACACAATATTTCCGAGTTCAAGTGCGAAAAAAGCATAAAGTCATGATGAAACTTTTGAGATCAATTACTTTAAACTTCAGAAAATCACTTTTACCTCATCAAATGCCTCGAAAATATCAATGCTTGGTTGATGGATGGTGCAAACAACCGTTCTTCCCGTTGCAGCAACATTTTTCACTGCTCTCATGACAATAGCAGCTGCCCGTGCATCTAAACCTGAAGTTGGTTCATCCATGAACATGATCGATGGATTGGCAACAAATTCCACAGCTATGGTAAGCCGTTTACGCTGCTCAGTTGATAAACCACTTACTCCTGCCATCCCCACTAAGCAATCTTTAATCCCGTCTAGCTCAATAGTTTCGAGGACCTCCTTTACAAATTCCTGGGGAAGGAAGGAAAAAAAAATTATCATGCAATTTAATTCAAATGTTCAAGTCAAGCACCATTGAAATACTCATGTTCTTGAAAAGATAGCATACGGCTTTAGTATTAGAATCGATATGAGAAGGGAGGCGCAGCCAAGCAGAATATACGACTGATTCTTCGACAGTTATTTGTGGAGAATGTATGTCATTTTGCTCACAGTAGCCTGATACCCTAGCAAATGTATCTTGAACCTTAGGGTACCCTCCAATTCTTATCTCCCCTTCAATGGTACCACCAGTTTTCCTTCCACAAAGAACATCCATGAGAGTTGTTTTCCCAGCCCCGCTGACTCCCATTAATGCCGTTAGAATACCTGGCCCGAAAGAACCTGTAATATCAGATAGGAGCTGAAGCCTTCTCTGCGTAAAGCCCCGCCTTCTCATTTCCTGCAACGTAAATAAAGATAGCAGAACTAGCCATATGAGCTGACATTATTCATTCCTTGCATTTCTGATCTCCTCAGAATTGAGAGAGAGAGAAAGAGAGAGAGAGAGAGAGAGGGGTTCTGAATGATTACCAAGGAGTGTCAACATAGTATTGTACATCCTGAAATGCTACTGCTAGGGGCTCAAATGGTAAAACCATCCTCCCTGGAAAACAGAGAAAAGAGAAGCAGAATAAGATCCATTATGTATCCTTTTCCTTTTTTGATACAAGCGGTATTCTACTTCAAACTAATACAAACCGTGGGGAAGGGGATTAGAACTCGGGTGCATATGGGGAAGAACATAGCGAAGTGGCTACACTTGGTATGCATCTAAATATAAAAGAAGCCCACCCAATTTACTATATAATTAAATAAGCAAAGATGAAGAACGAAAATTCTCCTCACCCTTCTTGGCTTCTGCAGTCGTGTTAGGTGCACTAGTGGGTTTCTGCTCTGTATCTGTATCGGTTTTTCTGTCTCCTTTTCCTTGCAGTTCATGATACTTGTCGTAAGAAATAATAGCAGGCGGCCTTCCGGGAGCTGAACAGAAGACGAGGGCTACTTAACAAAACCAGATAGAAAATATTGCTGCTTAAAGTGGTGAAGTGATGGATGGAGAAGAAACTTACACTTCAAGAAAGTCAAAGCTAAGGTGAAACCAACATTGAATAATACCGTGAACCCTACTAACGCGCCAAGTGATATCCAATAGAAATAGCCTTCAAAGTTTAATCCACGGCTTTCGAGTACTTGTTGACCGAGAGTTGTGTTTCCATAAACCTATTGAGTACAAGTAAAGAGCAAAGTCACTACTGGATGGAGGAATAGCTCTACCATTGCTTTTATGTGCTGTGTTTAGTGATAGTACAACGCTGGATGGTAATTTTCTCACCTTTTCCCATCGGGGCGCTAGGAATTCGTTAACTGTTAATCCTATCTCCCCATAGGTCAAGGGAGAAACCCAAAATCCCCACTTCATCCAAGCCGGCATATATGCTGCAACAAAACATCGTCTAAGTATGACTTAGAGTAGCAGAATTTGTAGGTATACAAAAGTGGGAAAAAGCTAATGAAATATCTTACATTTTGGTATAACAAAACCACCAAATAGTAAAACAGACAGTATTGCTGAAGTACCAGCTGTCATAGCAGCACCCACAGTTTGAAAAACCGAAGCAATAAATCGAAACATGGATATTGATGTTAGGTGCATAGCGAAGAGTAGAAGGAACTGGCGAAAGAACCTGCAAAACATGTGCAAGAGCTACAATTATATTCCGGACATCTAACCAGAGCGTTTATATTTATTCGTCACAAGTTCAGGCAAAGCTATAGACACGACTGAAGCATAACAACTCTTTCAAACATGTGACAGCCTATTACTTAACCATCTTACTAAAATCTGAATATTCGACCGCTGACTCACCTTCCAACCTCAGGGGTGTAACCGATAACATAGTATGTAAGAGCAGTCCAAACAAAAGCCTCCAAGCACGATAGCGGAACCTTTAGGATGGCAGCTGGGATTGCATAAGCCCAAGCAGGATAAAAACACAACTCCTTCTGTTTGTAGAAAACCACAATTCTTGAGACAGTCATTGACAATTCCGGGAATCCATCAGCGAGAAGTATGATGAGTCCGTAGAATAAAGAGCCCATATAATAATTTGCGTGGATCATGTCGATAGCCATTCGAGTCCGGAGGAAAACGGTCATTGTTATTGAAGAAATAATGACTAGCTGCAGGAAGAAAGAACACAAAAATTCTTCTAAATAACAAAGTGGATCAGATAGAAAAATGTTATAAACTAAGCCGAGGAATCTTCAATAGGGCAACTTGACCATGTGGCTGGCCAGCTACTCTCACAAGGGAACTAGCTCCCCCGTGTTTAGGTAACATCCGGCCCCACATACGTTAAAACCCAATGCATGGGTCCCACTCCTCGTGAGAGTGCCTGAGGAGCCACATTCTATCCTACTGAAGTTTTTCTCAAACTAAAACACGTAAATATGAGGGAAAAGGAAAGGAAAAAAAAGAAGCTACCTGAACTGATTTGAAAACATAAATAAAAGAATTTCTTTTCATCAGAAGAAATTCCCTCCTTGTGCAGGACTTAAAAAGTTCCCATTTAGGTAATGAGTATTTTCTAAAGGATAGAGCATCCTTGTGGCTTTGAGACTTATCGAATGGCTTCGAGAGCTCCTCGTTTAACTGCCTGCCTAGATGTCCATCCTTGAACTTCTTAATGAACTGATCGACCGAAACGTAGCTGTAAGGTTGAGGGCTGTCCCAATACTGCACTTGATCTTTTCTAGACATAACCTGAAGCAAAACAAGACCGTTTTTCTCTATTCAATGGTATAGAAAATAAGCCAATTCAATTAAGATATGAGTACGACAATAACCTACCTCCTGAAGGAAGTCAGCAACACCTTCCTTTCTGGGCACTTAAACCCACACTCCTCGAAAAATTGACAATTGAAGTTCTTGGCCCGTGAAACACAATCTTCCCTTCTGCCATTAAGACAATATCATCGAAGAGATCAAATGTCTCCGGTGCAGGCTGAAGAAGTGAAATCAACGCGGTAGCATCTGAGATATGCACGAAATGCTGAAGGCAAGATACGAGTTGGAAAGTGGTGGAACTATCTAAGCCGTTAGATATTTCATCCATGAACAGAGCTTTTGCAGGTCCAATGATCATCTCCCCTGCATAATACAAAAGTAAGTCGAATCTTATTTGATTTGACTCCGGGAGCTGAAATGCGCGTGTGCAACATTTAGTGTTATGTCAACACTACCTGTAGTCAACCGCTTCTTCTGGCCACCGGATATTCCTCTTCTTATGGGATCTCCTACCGATGTGTCAGCGCAAAAATCAAGACCAAGTATCTGCAAGACATTAGACAGTGAACAAGTCAGCAGCTTACAACAATCCAATTGAAACACACTTAGTGGGGAATTCAAATACCTTAAGAATATAATCAGTTTGAAGTGTATTTTTCAGTCCCTTAACAGATGTAGCCTGCAGCAGACAATTTCGATCACAGTTAGACCGATGAATTTATGAAGAACACAATGATCAGGGCATCGTAGGTACCTTCATGTAAGCATCTACGTCCGGATCTGGGACTATTCCTGCCTGCTTTTCCCTTCTACTGACTTCCATCATAATCTCTATTTGCACAAAATCACAAAAAATGATAACCAATGTGATAGGTTATAATATTCGAACTTGCTATTCTATTGCAGGCAAGGCAAGAATGCTTACCAGGTCGGCTTCCTACACCTTGACAACAGGCAGAGAAATCGAGTGTTTCCCTCACGGTGATCTCTGGAATATGCACATCCTGTTGGCTTACATAAGCTGAGGTTTTCTGAGGAACAAACTCTTCTAGTCCATGACCATTGTAACATAGTTCACCGGAAACCTATAAAAACAAAATGAATACTAAAATAGTCCGAAGCGTACACTCTTGTGCAAATGTAGCGTATTCATAGGATTCATTACAAATCATGATCAACTCAGGAACCAATCTCTTGAGGCGTTACATAACCAACTGATACTGAATCAACTTCATTAAGTACATTAGTTAAAACACAGGTTCGTCTTTCTCCGATTCTGTGAAGAATTCTAAAGCTTTTTCAATTTTGTTGTGATCCCTTATTCAAAACAATGCAGTGCCTTTTAGCGATTGTACGCACCTTGAGAGAATGGCTTAGCTTCCCTGCGAGTGCCATCAAAAACGTGGTTTTTCCAGAACCCGGAGGGCCAAGCAATAAGGTCATCCTGCAATGAAAAGAAGCCAAAGTTGGTTAACTCTAAGTTGCTTTGCTTATTCACTTTCTAATATCCTTCTAAAATTGTTCTAAAAATCTTAAAAAAACAGGTGAAATTTACTAAATTCTGCAACAGCCACAAATTGTTAAGCTAGAAACCAAGATTAAAGAAACTAACCTTCCCGGCTTAATAATTCCACTGACATCTTCAAGGATGCTTATCTTGGCATTGCGTGTTTTTGAACCTGGCAGTTCTGCGATGCCCTGTCATAAACAGAGCTCAAATGACTAATTTACCAGTTGATTCACTCGGAGATTATAATAATAAAACATAAAACTCATAACTTTAGATAGCGGAGCCAAAAATCTTTGTGAGTGAGGGCCTTTCGTATATGTATTGAGAAAAATTTCGAACTCATAACATGAGCAATTGAAGTAAGCTTCACCAAACTGAAAGACCCACTAAATTTAATACAGAGAATCAAAAGAAGTGTAGAATACACTAAGTGGGAGGTAGTAGAGCAAAGTACTAGTAAAAATTTGGAATTAAGGGTAGAAAGTACAAAGAAATTTGGTTTGAATCGTTTGACAAAAAAAGGAGGGCAGCAAGGAAGGTTGCAACTAATAGTTGATTAGGTTGCATTGAAAGTTGATTTTAAAATTTCATCCCGAGTTTCACTAAACCACAAAGACAATAAACAAAACTGTTAGAAAAATCTAAGACACAACATCTTCTTCACGAGGACAATTCATTTTTTTCGTCAGTGTCTCACAGTTCTACAACTGTAGGCTTGACGGTTGCTAGAAATTTCTTCTTACACAGTGGTCAGGATGGGCCTGATGTTAAGGATAGTATATCTTGATTTTCTGTTGTAATTAGTCATTGGACAGTTAGTTTGTTATTGGACAGTTATAGGTTAGTTTTTGATGAGCTGTCAAAATATAGCTCACTGTATAAATATCTCTGTACTCTAATTATTCAAGGTAATGAAAATACTTTCCTAATACCTGAAACCACTCTGGTCCCTTAGTGGCTCCGCCCATGTTAGGTATCATAGCAGGCGGTAAATCAATCGAGGTTTTAAGTTAAGGTGAAGAAAGTGGAGGTTCCACAATAAAACCAATTGACAATATGAGGAATATACCAATTATATATAAGCACGTGCAAGGTCCCTCATTTCTCTAACATGGGATTTACTCTCAGCATAGGCAGATAGTTTCCAATTTAGAAGATCCGGAGTCATATGAATTAGGATACTTACCAAAATCATACCCTTTAGAGCATTCCATAGAGTGGGCAGGGGCTTGCCATGAACTACCTTACACTCTGCTTCCACACAGAGATTCTCATATCTCACTTCCACCGTGGGCAACTTCACCCCAACCCTGCAAGGCCAAGACGAATATTAATATTTTACCGGAGTTACTGTGTGACGTTTAATTTCCAGAATAAGTAAAAACTTGCAATACAAGTAACCGTGTGCATTTGTGCTCAAAAGTATATATTTAGAAACCCGAAAAGAAGAAGAAAGAAGCTTACTTGTCGATTCTCTGTTTAATCTTCTGCAGTAGTTGAAGGTTATCATTCTCAATGTGTCTGATGAGCTTCTCTATGAAAACACGCCGTTCTTGCCCTCCAAGCGTGGTAACATCGACCACCCGTCTCCCCTTGGCATCTCCTTTCGCTGACTCGCCATCATAATCATCGAAAAGAGCGGTCGTAATCCTCTCAAAAGTGGGCAGTCTCTCAACTGCAGCCCAATGCAAGTCATGTTCTTCATCACCAACACAACCTTCATCATTGTCTCCTTCGGCATTGACAGTGGTGGTGCTTCGCAAACTCGAGGCGTGGCTTCGAAACGAGGATCTTATGCCCCTCCCAATCTCCGCTAACTCGAGCCGGAAAGACTCTATTTCATCTGCCCCTGCCAACTGAGCCATTGTCAGATAGAACTAGAGATGGATGAACTCAGACAGATATAAGTAACCATCGGAAGCCAGAAAACATGGCGGTCAACGATGTATCGCCATGCGTCATGGTTTGATAAGGCAAGGAAGAGGCAGTTCAACCAACTTAATTTAATCGTTAACAAAGACTTAAACCAATTAACAATAATTAAAACAGTAGCATAATTTTGAACACTCAACTTAAACAAAGGCGCATGGTTCTCACTGTTCAATATAAAACTCACTAATTTACATATACGAATCATAAAAGATTCCCTTGACTTTCTTTAATACGCGAAAAACTCGAGTTGGGCTGCATGATAGGGGCTGTTTTCACGCCGAGTTGAATTATAGTGGGGTCGGATCTGATGAAAATGTAGGGGTTACGTGTTTTTGTGAGTTTAAAAATTCCTTTGACTTTATTTGATACGAAAGAAACTTGTTTAGGGTTCTTAACTAGGTTAGCTATTTCAACGAGTGAAACTAGTTTGAGGTGACTGCAACCAAAATATAAGAGTTTTATGCTTTTGTGAAAGGTTCTCTATGAATAACGTGATTTAGATGCTATTATTATCTAAACGTGAGGTATGGTGGGACCAAAAGACAACCATTACTAAATGATTACAAGTCTTTTCTTCTTACACAAGAAAGAGTAAACAAATCATTATTTTATTTAAACCACAAAGCACCTTATTTGTCGAAAGGGATCATTCTCCGGATCCCTTCCTCCTAATCCACCAAATCAAGAGATCCGTGCTGTTGAAATTTAATCCAACGGCTACAAACAAGGGCCCACTTTAAAAGTTATAATAACTTCAACCGTTGGATCAAATTTCAATAGCATGGATCTCCTGATTTGGTGGATTAGGAGGAAAGGATCCGGAGAAGATCCCTTTCTCTTCTTTGCATGCCTTTTTTTTTTTTTTTTTTTTTAATTGTGAATATTGAAGAAGAAAAAATAAAGTTACCATAAGTGTGAGAAAACCGGACATGCATGGAAGAAAGAATGGTACAACAATTCGCCCAATTCAACTGAAAAAAGCCAAGGCACCTGAGAAGATCTTATAAACATAGCAATGCCAAAAGATCTTGCAAAGCATCCAAGACAATGACCAAAATGATCATAGAAAATACCACCAAACCAGCCATGCCCAGCAAAATACCACCAAAACCAGCCATGCGCGAAACATTCCACCAAAACCAGTCATGCATCTTTACAAGTTTACATGTAAAGTAACTTCAATGTTGCCAGATGTATATCCAATTCTCTTTTATCTCTCTCACCGGTGATAAAGTCATCTCATTGACATACCAGCATCTCGTCAAATGTATATCCATTTCTCTTTCTCTCTCTTATCACATGATAAAAATTGTGCAGGACACACCACAAAACAGTGGATCCTTCCACAAACATAATACATTTTCCTTTTTGGTTGGACATTACATTGAATAAAAATTAACATCTTGGATCAATTACCCCAAGGTATTGTTGTGTTGGACCCTTAAATTTTGGGAAAATTCAGATCAATTGTCTACCTCAAGGGACAACAGCAGTCTTAGCATGAAACCACAAGAGCATTCTACCAGTGCAGATTTGCTTCAAATGAATTAAAACGGCAACACAATATGTAACGAAAGAGTGATTAATTTCAAAAACTACGTGTTTACAGACCACCTTCTATAATTCTCCGGCTGCAGCTGCTGCAAACAATATATATGAGGCAATAACAAAAAGGAAGTCCTCTGTTGAAGACAGTTAGCACTCTTACAAATCTTCTTACAAGTTTGCAGCTTGTTTAGAGATCACATCAAGTTTGGAGAGAGGCACTTATCGACTCTGTATATACAACCATTTTCGATAAAGTTAAGCCCGGGATATCAGCCTATCAGATCAATTCTTACAGCCCTTCACCAGAAACATAAAACTGGAGGAAGCAGCATTGCTAACACCCATCCCACAATGGAAAAAGTTTGATTACCTGATCGATCGGCAATTTCACAATAAGAGCATGCTGCTGCATTAGAAGAACTGCGGAGAATGGAGATGCCCAGTGCGAGACTAGGGGATTCTTGGAGCGTACTGTTGCCTTCAAAGATCTCAATCAGACAACAACGCCAGACTCAGCTCCAGAAGCCTGATCACTTTGACTATCTTCAACACTAATCTGATCATTTTGATTGCCTTCAGCACTAATCTGATCAATCTGATTACCATCAGCACCAATCTCCTGCTCCAAGTAGTAGATCTTGTCGCTCATACCTTCCTTACTATACGCCTCAACCATGAGAGAGTATGTTGTGGAATCCGGTTGACATTGCTTATCTTTCATCCGGTTGAAAACTCTCTCCATCTCCATCAAATCCTCTGCCTTTGCACATGCAGCTATCACCGCATTATAAAATGTGGTATTCTCAGGTATCTCAAACTTTCCAGCCAATTGAACACTGCTAACCACCTTATGAAAGAGGCCTGCTTTGGCATACCCATTAATAAGGCAGCAGAATGTTTTGGTGTCTGCTTTCATGCCCTCAGCACGCATCTGTTCAAATGTGTATTCCATGTTTTTTGCATCTCCTACGTCCGCAAAAGCCTCAATCACATTGTTGTAAGTTGCGGTTGTCCATGGGAATTGAAGCTTGCGCATGTACTCCATCACAGTTGACATCTTATCATACAACCTCTTCTTCCCGTAAGCACCAATCAGAATGTTAAAAGTGCGAGTTTCCGGCTCAATCCCAAAATCACGAATTTCTCATACCACCTCTCCATCATATCTATCTGACCCTTGTTTCCAAACACACTAAGGATAACATTCATTGTCCAGACATCTGGCTTGCAACTTGTACCCTCCAGCATCCCCGACAACACCTTTTCCATCTGGTCATACTTCCCAGCCTTACCATATCCACTCAACACGATGTTTTGGGTAACCGTGTTTGGAATTATCAACCGCTCAGCCATTTCCTCATACAAGGACTCAACTAAGTCAAACTTCAAATGATCAATGCAAACCTTAATCAAGGTACTATAGGTAAAAACGTCAGGCTGGCATTGTGGGAGGGTCTTCATCAGGTTGAGAACAGAAAAGGCCTCATCAATCAGATTGTTCCGACAATAAGCCGTGAGCAAGGCTGTGTAAAGTTCAAGAGTTGGTTCACAGCCCTCTTCAACCATTGTATCGAAAAGCTGGCGGGCACGATTGGGTTGGCTGCACCTTCCAAGCAGCCCAATGAGTTTCATGTAAGTCCCTTCTTTCGGTTGATAAAATGGTTGCTCTCTAAGCATGTCAAACACCTGAACAGTCCATAGTACACAATTTCATCATACATTTTCCAAACAAAAACACCCAATTAATTCTAATTCCATTAAAATCATTCAGATAAAAAATTACATTTTTCAAGAACATGGTTCTAAAAACTAAATTGGGTAAGCATTAAAACACCATTTAAAAAAAAAAAAAAAAATTGAAGCAATTTGCATTCATCAAACTAAAAACCCAGAGGAAAAGGATGAAAAATTTGTTTAACTTTTGTTTAGATTAAGGGCAAAAACCTCAAGAGCTTGGAGCCACTGCTTCTTGTCAATGGCATCGGAGAGGGCTTCGGTGACGGTGTTCACCCATGCCTTGGCATTGTTCTTCCGGTCCAGCTTCTTCTTCACATTTTTCAAAGGGGGTTTTCTGTAAACCGCCGGAATCGACGTCTCCGAGACCCCCGGGAACTCCCCTTGCTTCCAGTGCTTCTTTCTGGTCTCCAAAGACGGATAGGAAGTGGAACGAGCGGGGGGCTTTCTGTAAGTCGCCGGAGTCGACGTCTCTGAGACGCCAGGGAATTCGCCTCGCTTCCAGTGCTTCTTTCTGGTGTCGGAAGACGGAGATGAAGTGGAGCGACCGGGGGCTTTCCTGTAATTCGCCGAGGTCGACGTCTCAGAGACGCCTGGGTACTCACCTTTCTTCCAGTGCCTCTTTCTGCTGTCGGAAGACGGAGATGAAGTGGAGCGACGGCTTACAGCTGGGGTGGTGAATGCACGGAGAAGCAGCTTAAAGTTGGGGTATTGGGGTTTCTGGGCGGCCGTGGAGTTTTTGTTGAGAGGGAGAGGATGAGGGAGGAGAGAGGAAGAGAAGGAGAGAGAGATTGAAGAAGCCATGGATGGATGGCTTCGGCCTGCGAATTTACTAAGGCAGTGGGTAGCGAGCATTGAGTAGCGAGGCGGGTTTTAGAAGCAGGGCTGCAGGGCGTTTAAATGACTTCTTTACCCTTTATTTTCTTATCCTCAAAGTACACTTTTTTATTTAGATTCTTTTTTAATTATTTTTTACTTGAAATTGAGACAATTTAAAAAAATAAGTTAGAAGGGTGAAATTCCCCATAGCTTTTTCAGATCTGAAAATAATAGATAACCGTAACTTGCTATCAGTTGTTGTCTTTTAAAAAAAAATAAAAAAAATTAGAAAACTTAAAGTAAACAGAAGACAACTTATCGCAGCAAGTAGGAGAGAACTTGGCTCGGGCAGTAGGGAAGCAAGCCACTCTCATAAAGGGCTGATATCGTGACGGTCGTACCTACATAAAGTCGGATAATACTCAAATACGGTGAAAATTGTTCATTTGAGAGAGTATCTGATCAGCTAGTTATCGTATTCAAATTTCTCTTAACAAGTAATGAGAAATTACAGTGGGACTACCTGTTTAGATCATCTCTTAAAGAAACTAACATGAAGTCGTTTTAGACCAAAATATAAGATCCTAAGTTTTTATGAGAGATGTCTAACGAATGACGTTGTAAACCCCTCTAACAATAATCTTCAATTACAAAGTTCTTCCACCATTCTAACCTGGTTAGTATGCTTATGCTTATATGAGCTCAAATAATGAACGAGGTTATGGTAATTGGATACAACGAGTTCGATTTCCTTCAATGTAACCCAGAAAATAATAATAATAATAAATAAAAATTTGACGAACACCTCAAAATTAAAATTTAATTTACACGTAAAATAGTAATCTACTGCCTCTCCAAAATCAAAATTTAAATTTAATTTACACAGAAAAATCAAACACAAATTATTTGCCATCCAGTTTGTAACACTGTTATACAAATACAAATACAATCAAAGAGTTGCTTTCTCGTCTATTTAGTCGGTCAATAAATATACTCCTATGTACTTGAAAAGAAATGGTCAATAACCAGTCACTATAGATTAATACACGTAAACTATACCTTAGCTTGAACCAAACTTCAAGTGTTCCCACCGGAATGGCTCGAACACAAAAAGAACTTCCGGCGTGCTTTTAAAGAGCAAGGCCACACAAACGCAGACAGCAGCAACAATCACCATTGACAGCATTGCCGGCCTGTACACAAGTGACCGTGTGGTGCTGTGAGCTGGTTTCTGTTCACATAACCTGCAGTGTCGCAAGATTGCTTTTATTTCGTTCTTTTCAGTTTCCAAGCTGGCTACTCTTGATGATTTATCTGCATCGGACTGCTTCTGCTTTCCGTTTCTGTCTAACGTGAGGCCAGGGATGTCAAGCACCACATGCCCGCTTTCTAGTGTCTTGCTGATTTTCCGCTGGACAATTTGGACGTAGGAGTAGTGGCTTCGAAGGCATGCATAATCGTATGGTGTCAATCCTGTGCTGTCTCGAGCGTTTTTCCATGCTTTAATTCCCACCTAAAGAAAGTACACCCGTATCAACATGATGAATGGATTATCCAACAATAAAGAAATTTCATAATAGCAGTCCTAAACACATCGTTGAAACTAGAACGGTGAATAGAATCAAATTTCATTTATCATCATTGGTATACAATATATGCTAGACTATTGGGATCAAAATTTTAACAGCAGTCCTATTTGATTTCAAGTTGAATGCAGAATTTGGGTGTTTGATTTCAGCTGTGACAGAGTTAGCATGCATTTAGATGGAGGTTGTAGCCAGCGAAAAGTGATTTCTACGTAGATTTAGAAGAAAAGATTATGTTGCAATTCTGATCAGGGAGATATAAGGCCATCTCCAACCGAAGGGTCCAGAGGGCCAAAGGGTAAAAAATAACCCTAAAACTGTCTCCAACCGAGGACTAGGCCAAAGAGCTTGTGAGCCCCACTGGACAAAAAAGGACCAAAGGGCCAACTAGACAAAAAAAAGGGCCAAAGGGGCCCCACTGAACAAAAAAGACCCAAATGAACCAGCCAGCCCAGGGGCGGGCTGGAATTCAAAAAGCAACGATCAACTAGCCGTTATTTTTTATTTTTTATTTTTTTTTTCAAAATTTGTTTAATTATAGGCCCAGAAAGTATGTTTGGTTGAATGTTTGGGTGTTCTTTTTATAGGCTTTAGAGCTTGCTCAAATCCCTCCCACAGCCAATGTAGGACTCCCACCCACTTCCATGTTTTTTTTGTTTTTTTTTTTTATACAATTCCTCTCCTACAGCCGATGTGTGACTCTCCCACCCACTTCTTTTTTTATTTTTTTTTAATACTCAAAATAAAACCTCTCACATTTGACTTGAAATATATAAGTTGTAGTTTTTTAATTTAAGTTATATTTTTAAAATTTTAGTTGTAGTTTTTTAATTTAAGTTGTAGTTTTTAAATTTAAGTTGTTGTAGTTTTTAAATTTAAATAATAAATTATGTTTAGCCTTATTGCCCTCGGTTGAAGATGGTTTTTAGTGACAGGGCTAAAACAAGCCCTATGGCCCCTTGACCCTCGTTGGAGATGGTAAGAAATATGGCCATGCACTATTCATTAAAATATTAGTTTCTTGGAAAGCCAGAGGGCTAAAATGAGCCCTCTAGCCAGCCTTCGGTTGGAGATGGCCTTACCTTTCCAGGATCATCCGTTAAGGCATCCAATACTTGCTCACAGCCATCGGTACTGGCGGCAATATGAAGAGGAGTCAACCCCATGGGCCCAACAACATCAGGTTTAAACAAGAAACTGTTGCCGTCCTTGTCAACTTGTTTGTTCTGCTCAGATCCTGTCAAACCTGGGACAAATCTTAATAAAAATTCCACCATATGTCTGCCATTTCTTCGAACAGCTCTGTGGAGGAGACCCATATCCAGTAATGCAGACTCAACAGAAGGATGTTTTCCAGCATCGACAGTACCATCAAACAGAATGCCCAAGAGTTTTTTCACTACAGCACACCAATCATGGTCAATGGAGAACTCCATGAGCAACCTGAACCGTCCAAAGGGAAATAGATCCAGATTGGGATCCAATTGACCCAGTCTAAACTTAACGCGACTTCTATGGAGGAGCCAACCCAATTCATGTATAAAGTCCAAGGCTTGGTTCTTGGCTTCCACTTTTTCAGGTCCAGACTGGATGTCATCATCACTCTCAGCCGCCTCAATCACATCTTCCAGCATACAAATCTCGGAGCATACTTCCTGCTCTGCAACTATAAATGGAAAGAAGCTACTACTGAGACCATGATCTTCAACCTGACATAAAAAATTTGACCAAAAAAATGAGAACCATAGAATTCATGTGTCGTTCAGAAAGAGAAACAAATGCTATATGGAGAGGATTGTGTTAAGGCGCTGTCTAGAAACAAATCCTATACACAGCGCATTCACAAGAAAGATGTATGACACTTGGCTCGTTCCAAATGTACATTACAAATGGAGGAAGGGGGAAGGGACAATTAGGAATACGACAGCACCTCAATGAATCCTCGCCCAGTAATATTTGGTATAGAGCAGGAGAATCTGAGGCATTGCTGTTCATCATCCTCAACAGAGCTATCCGCATCATCCATCAAGTCATAACAAGTTTCTTGCACCAGATACTTCCCTTCTAGAGCACAGAGTAACCTGTCAAGACTCAAGATCTAGAATTTAGTAGTTGCGGGAATATCAAAAACAAAGTAATGAAGCATGAATGAACGATGAAAGAACCTTGTGGTGGAACGAGAAAGGTTAAGGCCTTTTACTACAAATTCAGCTCTCTCAGATAAGGAGATCGCAATTGGTTTGATGCATGATATCCTGCAACTTTTATCCGTTTTAAGAGGCAAGGGTGTGTCTAACACAACTTCACCTGCAGGACAGACATAGCTAATCAAAATGTCTCTCTTACAAGATAATTGTTTTTGGTCAACCTCATTATGACTAGAAAATAAAAAAAGAAAGCATGACCAAAATCAATAAAGCATAATGGAAAACCAAAACTGCAAGAAAGATGTGTACAGACACACAGATGAGAGAGAGAGAAAGAGAGAGAGCACAAACCATTGTGTGTAAATGCTACAAAATGTTGCACCCTTGTATACACCCATCCTGTTCTCCAAAAAGGATGCATCCGCAGCATCTAGAAGTGTTTTCAAACTGGATCCCAGATGACAACAGAACTGTATGCAAAAATAATTTAATGACATAAATCCATAATAATTAAGGACATGAAGAAAAAGTTTTCCTCATACAAAGATCAGCCAACTACGTTCAAGCATCCAGAAGCATACCTCCTCCCACGTGGATTTTTCAAGACGAAGGTAAATTGTCAAAATGATACAGCCCGGCCTTATGTAGCTTTCAATGTTCGTAGGACTGTGGGATAGCCAGTCGAGGATCTGGATATTCAGATAATTTATAAAAATCATGTTGTCTGTGGAATGAAACACCAAAATACATTGAAAAGTAGCAAAATCAAGGGAAAAATAATACCTGTGATCGCAGAGCAAACGGAAGTTCACTTGGGTCTTTTCCAAATAGTTTAAAAACAATTCGGTCTGTGCGACTCTGATATGTGGCAGAAAAAGAGCGGTTAAGAAACGTAAAATTGCAGATACATTCTACATACTGGCCTTTTACATAAATAATGCATGTTCCATAGGATTGCTATAACCACCTAGTAACCTTAGCCTCAATTCTATTAACAGTATCAAGCAGATGCGTACACAATGAGTGTGCTTGTGTGTGCGTGCGCTTGCGCTTGTAAACTGCCATATTGGTTTGACTGAAGAGGATAACTGATCTCAAATTTTATGTCACAATTGAAGCATTTCTTAGATATATGCCATAACCAAGTGGCGAGGCGCACTTCACCTCACCATTGTTTGGACGATCAATGGGAAAGATACCCAGATAAGTTCAGAACAGAAAACATGACTTCCTAACTACTCTCAAGGATAGAACAAAGCTATTCTACTATCCAAACAAAAGGATAAGTTATATGCGTATAATGATT